CTCTGCCTTCCTAGCCAGGCTCAGAGGCGGCCTGTGCGGAGTCTGCCTCTGTCGAAGCAGGAGTTTGAGCTCAGTTTTTAAAATGGATGTAATCCAAATTTTTTTTTTTAACTCCTTAGTTCTCAATCTAAACAGTACACATAGTTGTGTTTGGATAACTCAGTTCGATTCTATAGAATATCTATGGTTGGTTTTATGTATTCAAACAGGTTGCTTGACAGCAAGCCAATTGAAGTAGCAGAAGGTATTTGGAGGATGCTAATACAAATGTAAAGCTGCTTTAGAGGGGGAAGGTATTTACAAATGCACGTGAGAGATGCATCTCTGCGTGTGTTACGGACCACTCAGCACAGGAACCAGATCAGAGGCTGAATTAGAATTTGAATAAGAGCCTTTAGTTACTGAGCGCAGGACTGTCTGTCAGCTCTCCCGCAGGAGAAGACGGGCTGGCCCCAGCCCCCCGGGAGCAAGGGGTTTTTAAGGCAAACATCACATCCTGTTTAGTAAGCACATTTGCTGTCTAGCACAGAACAGCACCTTCAGGGACAGTGTGACCATGACTTAGCATGTTATTTTTTGGGGGGAGCATTGTTCAGTTTGTGCTTATCATGCATCCGCCTATGTGCAGCCTTCCATAGAAAGAGGTCACAAGGAGTTAGCACAGCAAGCAGTTGTTACAAGATATATCTTATAAGAAATGGTTAGGGAGCGAGTTTATCAAGCAGCCTTGACAAACAGTTACTCATTACTAAACAGCAATGAACAGAGGGCGAGAATACATTCCTTGGAGTGGACAACAGGAAGCACATGGTTTACAGTTATAGCACACAACTTAGTCCATGACATATGTATGTGCATGGTTTGTAGTATGAACATATAATATGGGTATTTGCATGTGCTTTTAAAGCCTTCTTTAAGAGGAAACTAATCCTTCCAGATCACGGGAGTAGGCAGATTATTTTTCAACAATGTGCTAAGCAAGGTAGTCAAGCAAAGGGGTGCACAGATGTAACCCCACGCCAGGGGAGACTGAGGAGCCCAGCCTGAACCATTTAGTAACTTAAAGAGACCCTATCACAAAACTAAAACTAAAAAGAGTAGGGAATGGGGAATGTCGCTCAGTGTGCAGGCTCTGGGTTCAATCTCCAGTGCCATAAATAAGGCAAAGAAAAAAATTTACATAAGAGCTACAACTTTGGGAGAGTGCTATAGTCATGTAAGATTCAGTCCCTAGAAAATGTCTAGCGCACGGGGGAGAAGCGCACTGGGAAGCTAGAGAGCCCCGATCTGAACAAATGTTTCGTTTTGTCCTTTGAGTGTAGGGATTTTAACCTATTGAAGCGTTGGAGGATTATGTTAAATTCCTCTGCCAAATGTTAAAAAGGGGTAAGTTCTGGCAGGTATGGGCCTGGGCACACCCAGCATGCCTTGAAGAACCTTCTCGGGACCCATGGCCCACATGTTGTCCCCACAGAATGACGCAGGTGGGCAGAGAATCCTGGTGAACAAGTGGACCACGTTCCTGAAGGCCAGGCTGGTGTGCTCCGTGCCAGGCCTGAATGGGATCGACACGTACTTTGATGATCTAGGTAAAAAATTATTGGGCGAATTGAGTTTCCCGCTGATCCATGTGCCTCTCTAAGGTTCACAGTCTCTAGCGCACAGGGAGAGCTTGCTTCCTGTGGTGTCTGACCTTGAATTAACATGGGATGGATTTCCCCCCCCCCCCCACACACACACCTTTTGCTGTAGCTCTGAGGCCTGGTGAGGGCAGAGGAGTTGCAGGAACAAAGCCTGGCAGCTCCTAAGCTCCAGGCCTCTGGTCCTCCCTGGGGCTCAGCGTGGGACACACTCACCATGTTACGTGTCGGTCATGCTTGCTGGGTGCTTCTGCAAATAGATGTCTTCATCTATAATAAATCCTAATTTGTTCCATGTGTATATGTTTTCTCTGCATACAAAGAGAACTAAAAATATAAAATGATGGGTTGGTCTTTAATTTTCAGAGGATGTTTTCTTGCTGCACACCAGAGATCAGAAGAACCCAGTGATATTTGGACTGTTTAACACTACCAGGTGAGAAATTTATTTAGTCAATGAAAATAACAAAGCAAAAATAATCTGGTTATTTGGTTCCCTTTCATGGTGTACAGATGAGGTGTGATTGCAAACTATAGTGAATGTTTAAATTAAAAAGAAACTACCACAGCAACAGGCAGAGTGCTGTGAGCCTCCCTCCAAATATTCCGAGCTTTAAATCACTTATTCTCGTCTGTGTGCAAGAATACGCAGCACTGTCTCCCTGCAGCAGCTCTGCAGTCCCTTTCCCTGCGTGTCTTCAGTTTCCTCTGTCCTGGCTGCCTTGATATCCTGAATCCATTCAACACAGTCACATTTCAAGGTCGTTTTGACTTTGGGGAGGAGTCAGAAGTCACAGGGTGCCAGTCCGGTGTACAAGGTGGATGTGCACACAGCGTCCTTTTACGGCACCTGCCCTTCTGCTGGATGGGACGTGGCGGAGGGCTCCATATTTTTTGTCACATTTCATTAAAGACGCTCACCAAAGGGAATTCCAGACCTGCTTCACAGGGCTGCAAAAGCAATGGGATAGTGAGTTTGGTGTGAGGGACTCTGAGTGTGTCAGTTACTGTAGTGATACAATTTCCATGGACTATTTTAAGAAAAAAAAATTCCAGAACCAAATAATGGAGCCTAATAACAGCTAATACACCCTGTGCTGCTCCCTTCAAAGTAGTTGCTCAGAGCTTGCGATGTAAAAAAAGTTTTTCTCTTGTGCAGGGAAACACCTGGTAACTTAGAAGTGCCAGGGACCCCTCTTCCCCAGCCCCGCGGTCTTCATGACTGTGACTGCATTTTCATTTTCAAAGCCACCGCTAGTCCAGACCCTTATTTGCAGAACCCCAGGCTCCCTCTGCCTCCATATTCTCACCCCTTTCCCCTTTAATCTGCCAGAAAACAGCATTTTCTCGAGGAGTGCCTAAGACAGCAGCTCCTTGCTGGAGTCTGTCAAGGAGAACTTCCCAAGTCAGGATGCCAAGTTCCGGACTATGTGACCCATTCATTTCTGGAATTTTGGCACTCTGACTTTTCTGGTGCTCTGTTTTTAACAAGACAATGCCTTGACAGATTCCAACACTTGCTTCAGCAGCCTCTACTGCATATATTCTTTGCTGTCTTGCTTGACATTACTTTCTCTCCAACACTGGCTGACACCAGCTTCCCAGACCTTGTCGATGTCCCTGTCGTCACTGAGATGCCTCTGTCCCTTTATTCTGGGTGTTCTACCCCTGTGCAGACATGCAGTGAAGGCCCTGAAGGCTCTTCTCTCCAGGTTTTAAGTATGCAATTCAAATTTAGGGCTCAAAATGTGTTATTTCCCCCTTTACACTTTTCTGTTTTGTATCCATGGGGGAATTACATTAGGTAAAATAATAACTTAGCGTCTGCTGATTTATGGATTAAAAGAAGACTGCAGAATTGGTTTTGGCTGAAATTTGCATATACGCTCCCCTGGGTATCTCACCAAATGTGGCAGACTGGGGGTAAAATGAGAACCAGAAGAATCTCTCTGGTTCCCTCCCAGAGGCAGAGTAGGGTGAGTGTTTCTGACTACCTGGCAGGACGAGAGGCAGAGAGAGGGTTCCCTGGACCAACCCTTGGGGCTGTCCCACTCGGCTTTTGTTTGGTTTTTCAGCAGGTGATTTTGATTTTCAAATAAAAACATGTCCTCCCAACAAGTACCTTGTTTTTGTAGAGAGAGATTGGTATGGGTTGTGTCAGTCCCCCAAAGCCTCAGGCAGTCATGGGGTGGCTTGTGGAGTTTGTGATTGATTATTGTGTGTGTGGGTGCTGCCCCTGCCCTGGGGCCGGTAATCTGCGTTACAGTGTGAGGCGGGGAGAGAGGCTGGCAGCTGCCTGAGCTGCTCTCACTCCCTTGACCTCTACTCCTCACTAGCGCCATGAATGTTTGCTCTCTGCCGTGTGCCACTCTGCCTTGGACCAACTGAGTATGGACCGAAACTTCCACTGGCTGAGCTAAATAAACCTTTCCCTCTTTCATTTTGGATGGTGGGTATTTATCCCAGCAATGGGAGAAGTAACAGACAGAGATCTTTTCTCCCACAGAATAGCATGAAAATACTTTTTCTTACTGATTGTTTCTTGATACAGATTTAAAAACAGCCTGCAAGCAGGCACGGGGGCTTGGGGTTCAATCCCCAGGCCTGCCGTTTGGACCCCTCCCCCAGGGCGTGCTGAGGCTGCAGTTGAGACTGGGCGTGGTGGCACACGCCTATAATCCCAGTTCTTGGGAGGTGGTGAACAGGTGGAGCACTATCAGTCCAATCTAGTAGTGAAACCCTGAACACCCTGTGGAACCTTCCCTAAAATACAAAATAAATGAATAAATGAATACATACATACATAGATAAAAATAGCTAATATATATTAATAGTTTTGACAGTCATGGAAAATTATGTTTTTCCCTTAATCTCCTCCCTTGCACCCACGAATAGGTAAATTCATAATTCAGAGATTCTCACATGATAAGTCCAAGCTGTGGGATAGTCAGTAACTTTTTCTAAGGGTTAGTGTGTTCCATTTGTATGCTGTTCTCCTAAATGATGGCATATTGGATCTTTCTGAGAAATCAAAGACGAAACATGATTTTCTTCCACAATTTCCATTTTGACTGTGCAATTTATGTACAAGTGTGAGGAAAAAAAAGCTGCCAGCTGTTCTCTGACACAGAAGTTGATATCACCGAATGGTGATCAAAGGCGCGTTGTCACTGCTTGAGAAGCTCTCCCCAGCTTGCCCCGTGCCCAGGCGTTTTCAGTTGCTTCCAGGTGTGTTAGAAAACGTGTGAGGCGAGGTTCTGAGATGGCACCAGAACTGCAGGTACACAGGAGTCTCAGGGCATAAGAAACGCTATATTCAGAATTTTACATTCGAAAAGCTCATCCGCAAATATTACTTATCTTAATTCTCATAATACAGATGCTTAGATTATGCCTGAATTAATTCCATTTATGCCAAATTAAGAAATATGGTCAGATGTCTTCAGGGATCTTTTAAAAACATACTTTTTCAGAATCTGACTACAAATGCACATGATAGAACTTGCTGTAGCCACTACTGTCTAAATTTTTAACTTTAGAAAATTTTATATCATGTTATCTGATACTAATTCTAAAGGTAAGGAGCCTGAGTTTTACAACTTAAGTAACTCTCCGTTGCATCCACACTAACTGCCTGTCCATGATCACGGTTTTCAGGGACCTTCTGAAGGGAAGAATTCCAGGTGTGTCAGCACTTGTGAAACCCCAGCCTATAAGATGGGACAGAGCCCTAAATGGCCACAAGACTTCAAACTGCGCTCCACATCATATATGCTGAGATAGCTAACAAAATTTGAATTGAATTTTAGCAATAATAACAACATGGTGAATACTACATTGAGACATTTTTTAAAAATCCTAATACCTTAAAATAAGTAATAGAACTTGAGAATGAGCCTTTTCACCATTAAAGACTGTTCTTTCTTAATTAGAAGCATGACCATGAAGCATTACAATTTAACAATAATAAAGTTAACTTTAGGCAACCAGTTTTTCCATGAAAGACTGCTAAGATTTGGTGCTTCAAAACTGACAAACGTTGTAACAGTTATTCTTCCTAGACTATCCTGGGCTCAAAGGAATTGAAAGTCTTTACTCCAAAGATTGCATTATTGTATCCTACTCTGTATACTGAAGTGGCGGGCCAGGGACCTGTGAGCTCCACATTAGTGATGCCTTTCCCTCTCGTTTTCCAGCACTATCTTCAGAGGACACGCTATCTGCGTCTATCACATGTCCAGCATCCGGGAAGCTTTCAACGGGCCATATGCACACAGGGAAGGGCCTGAGTATCACTGGTCACTCTACGAAGGAAAAGTCCCCTACCCAAGGCCTGGTTCTGTAAGTTTAATCATTTGTCACAGTATTCTTCTTTCTGAAAGCCCCGTATGGTGATGTCACTGTTTCACATGCTTCACCATACTTCGCAATTAAAGAATTTTATATCAAAAATATACTTAGGTGGTACAGAAATTCCATGTTTATTATCAAGTTATGTGCTTATTATTTTGATGAATATCATCCATGATGCATACTTCTATCAAGATTCCAAGCATTCGACCAAGTAGTTCCAACTCAAAGTTTGCTTTTCAGGCTACTAGTGAACACAGAAAGAGCCAACAGCAAAAAAGGAATCATGCATTTTCTTCCCAGCCTCTTGAAAAGAACTAGCATCCCATGGAACTGAAGGAGAATGTTACTCAGATTTTGTGTTCTTGTATTTCACTCAGACTCTAAGTTTCCTAAGTCAGACTTCCTCCCCACTGTCATTTTAGCAGATCTATAAGCATTGTTCTACCTTCTTAGAACACATAGTACCTTTAAAACTATCTTCCCTGGGCAATTAGAGAGGAAAAATGTGCCCGTAGGAAAGTGTAAGGAGCACAGGCATTCGGCCACCCAGCCTGAAGTGTGGAGTGAGAGTCTCCTTAACTGGCCGTTTCAACTTCTGTGCTTTTCATTGTACACATGTCCAAACATGATGGTGATGATGACAGCTTGATGCCGTGGGTCCTGTATGCAACTAGTTTGCAAAATTGTTGGATGTTGATGCCCTGTGTGGGTCAGTGGAGAGCAGCCACTTAAGTTGTCATGCAAGTCAGCATCAGCACTTCAGGAGCAGCTGGTAAAAGCTCATCACTCCTCCAATTCCACAGTTTCTTGCAAGCCAAGTAGAAACCACTTCTGCAGAGCCAAGACCCAAAGTGGAAACAAACCTTACCTCCATTAACAAGTGTAAGGCTTCACCACAACCACTTCCCCCACTGACTTAAAAGTATGACTTCCAGTAAGACATAAAGTACATTTTATTTCACTCAGTTGATGGAAATTGTAACTTCAATGGAGAAAACCCACTCCCGTGGCTTCGCTGGAAGTGCTGCTTGGAACCACATGGTTTTGGGGAGATCGAAAGGAGTGCATGTTGCCAAGCTGCTTCCAGCCGAGGCAGAAATGGTTCCCATTATGCACCGTGAAGGGACACTCCAGTGAGCAAGCTTGTGCCAATCGAAGAGATGTGGCCTGATTTTTTAAAAAAGGCACCATTATAAGTGTCCTCTCTGCAGAATCTGATTACTATACCACTATGTTTCTAAAATAGAAAGTTTTTTTTTTTCCTTTTTTGTTTTTTAAAGTCAAGATTATCATTGCAGTTGCTGCCAGTTCTGGAGAAAACCCAAGACACAAGGGACACTTGCTAGCAAACTTCCATCAGCACGGCTCGAGGTGCTCCAGAGCCCTTGCATTTAGAGTCAGAGATTTAAGAGTCCAGACACATTACAGCAAATGTTGCTGGTTCTCTCGGCTTACTGTGTCTGCTCCATGTGAAAATGTGATACAGATTCATATAGATTATAATAGAGCAAGAAGAGAAGTGTTTCTCTCAAGACTTTATGGTGATAAAATTGGAATAGGTTTCTGTGGTATGTCACTAAGATTTCCACCTGGAGATGTCACCAGTCATACTGTCATAGTCCCGCCAGGAAAGCTGTATTGTGCAGTGGGAATCTTCATTTGGAGAGAAGACACAGCACAACAAAGAGACTTTTCCTGAATCATAGATTCTTTACTTTCAGAATTTACTTCACAATGTGAAAAATTTTAGGAAACCTAGAAAACAATTTCAACACTTACATCGTCTACTGTTGGCCCCTCCAAACCGTCCTGGTATTAAATGTATTTCATTTTTCAAGATATGATCTAATATTTTAATGCTGCCTGTTCATAGAGTTTTGAGTCTATTTCTGCACTGAAGGGTGTGTAGTTACTATCTGTGTTTAAATGTGCAATTGGTTGCTTGAACAGCATCCATATCTCTACTTCCTCTTGTGACTGATGGTTTCCCCTCTGGAATTTCTCATCACGCATGTGCAGTGTGCTAGCAAGGTGAACGGAGGCAGGCACGGGACCACCAAGGACTACCCTGATGATGCTGTTCGATTTGCGAGGGGCCACCCGCTCATGTACCACCCCATCAAACCTGCCCATAAAAAGCCAATATTGGTGAAGACGGATGGAAAGTACAACCTGAAGCAAATCGCAGTGGACCGAGTAGAAGCTCAGGACGGCCAGTATGACGTCCTGTTCATTGGCACAGGTATGGGAGTATGACGCACTCCATTCTCCCTGAAGGAAATAACTCCGATTGTATTTCTGAAAGCCCCAAGGCTGGGCAGAGTCATCCTATGTCGTGCCCTGGTCTGGAACTAGTGACATAATCACCACTTTCATGGGCAGTAGTGTCATGGTTTGGCTCTGAGAGATACTGGCCAAGTCCCAAGAAGGACTGGGGATTGCTACAGGACAGAATTCTTGACACATGGTTCATGCTTAACACATTTGAATAGAGGAAGTAAATAAAGGAATGAATGAGTGATGTTGGTGAACTGCAGGCTCCAACCTGAAGTCTCGTCCTGACCTCCCCATCCAGCCCCAGCTCCAGCCCCGTTTCTGCCTCAGGCTGCTCAGGGATGCCTCACAGTGTCACAAGAACACAGAACAGTACTTCCACACACCTCTGTGGTCACAGCAGCACTCCCTTCCCCGGCACTGATCATTTGCACAAGCGGCTGCACTTCAGTGCCATTCAGTCACTTAATTTTAGATAAGAACTTAGCCTTTCAGAGCAATATGGGGCAAGTTCTGTAAGACATTTATTTCTATAGATTTTTGAAGCACAATTATTCTACTTCTTTAAAGTGGCCAGTGCTTTCTTATGCCGCATAGTAGCTCCTATAAGGACTGGTCCCAAAAGAGCAGTGGTAAGCATTCTCGGGGTGTAACTTTGGCGTGTCCCCAAGTGGAAGCAGCGTCCTTGGGTTCCACATAATAAATTGAAAATCGTAAAAAGTTAAGCAAGGAAATATTCATCTTATTTCCAGAAATTGATTTCTGATAGGGGTACATTTCATCTATTTATTTTAGAACCTAAATGTTAATAGTGTGCTCCGTGTTCAAAATACCAAGCAGCAGACTTCTCTAAGAAACGAAAAATATCTTGCTCTGTGGTCACTCAGTGAACTCCAACAAAGGTAGCAAAGGGGCGAGGCTCCACAGGCGAGCCCCATCTTGGATAAAGTTCATGACAGAGCGTTATTTCTAAACCCCTGCGAAGCAGGAGACGTACTAATGTCCCCCTAACCATTTTCTTGTCAGGTTGCCCAGTGGTATTTGAGAAAATTCCACAGATGCCAGTGTGTGTGCAGTCACACGCAGCACACTTAACTGAAAGTTGCCGTTCCACAGAGCCCAGATCTCAGAAGCGTAGGACAAACTTGACACACGTGTGACAAGCACATGGAGAAGCCCCCAAGCAGTAATGACAGCTCCCAATGTTCATCGGGCTCAGGCTGCAGGTGTAGTGTGTGTAGCTACCACTGCGAATCCACATTCAATTTGCATTTTTGCCAAGCATATGAACTGTAAGCTATTTAACATGTGCTTGATTTTCAAAATGGTGTTTTTGAAAATTGTTCCTTTTAGTTAGTGGAAACTACAGGTAATTATTATTAGTTTAATTATAATTTAGTTTTATTAAGGAAATCGCAGTTAATTTTTCAATATACTTCTCAAATACCACAGAATTCCTTGATCACGACTTCCAAGTTACTTATGTTTTATGAATTATTACTTCTAGCATGACATCAAAATATTTGCACAGGTAAATTAATGTGTCTAAACTTATCTTTGGAAGGTACAAATACAGAATATTATGAATGATTAAAGTGAGATGTGCATTTAAAGTAGAAGTTCAAATTTACAAATAATGGATAATTATAGAAGCTAAGTTATACAGGAGATATCTCACTCCTTGAGGGAGTAAACTTGAAATTTTTTTAAATTATTAAAGGTGGACCCTGGGCTGGGTGTGCGGCTCGGGGGCAG